ATTGTGGGAGTGGCTTCTAGAAGGTTCCTGGAATGCCCGCGGGACCTTTTCCCATTGTCTTGCCTGCCCGTACCTGGATCCCTTTTAGCCACACCGATCTCTTTAACAAGCAGCCTCTCAGCTGCACCCTCCAATTCCTCTCCTAAAAAAAAAATGCTCTTTCATTTTCTACCACCTGGCCTGGCTTCCAATTTTCCACACTTTGACTCCCTGCTTCCCTTTTATTTGTGAATTCCACCTTGAGGCCATTTATTTGCTGCCAGTTATTCTTCATCATAAGCTTTTAAAAGTAGCCATGCCCACCATTTCTTGAGTGCTTTGCTGCTCAGAAATTTCTTCCACCAGATATCCTAGGTCTACACTCTTCAATTCCAGGGCATGGACACAGGGCAGCCAAGGTCTTTGGCTCCAGTTCCCAATACGTTCTTCATTTCCACCTGAGATCTCAGCAGCGTGCCCTTCACTGTCCATATTTCTATCAGCATTTTGGTCACAACCACTTAACTAGTCTCTAAGAGGTTCCAAACTTTCCCTCATCTTCCTGTCTTCCTCCAAGCTCTCCAAACTCATCCAACCTCGGCCCATTACCCAGTTCCAAAGCTGCTCCCACTTTTCAGTTATCTTTATAGCAATACCCAGTGCTCGGTACCAATTTTCTATCTTAGCCTGTTTTGTGCTGCTGTAAAGGAATACCCGGAGCTAGGTTGTTTATAAAGAAAAGAGATTTATTTGGCTCTCAGTTCTGCAGGCTTGTGGGGTAATTGAAGATTCTGGCCCCAATCCCGTATTGGGGGCCTGAAAAGGAGCAAGCAAGCTGCAGGTTGAGGTGCTCAGGTGAAATGAGGAAACACAGCTAACAAAAAATAAAATAAATAGAAAGAAAAGAAAGACTGGCAACACAGCCCCTCTGCCCACCCCCTGCAGGGGCTGAGACCCTGCCAACCTTTCTGGAAAAATGCCCTGCCATCCCTGGTGACACACACCGGATCCCCAAGTTAGTGTTTGTTTGTACTTGCCTATTGAATCACTTGCTGTTTCTGGGTACGGCCTGGAGGATTGCCGGATTGGCTAGCCATCACTGGAGCCCTGGCATGGAAGCTTCCCGAATAAACGCATGTCTCTTTTCTCTGGTCCTTTGGTGCCAGTTCATATTATGTGGAGGCTTTAAAGGGCCTTCATCGGCGGAACAAGGCTGTACAAGAAGCTTGGTGCTGGCATCTGCTTCTGGCGAGGGCTTCGGGAAGCTTCTACTCAGGGCGGAAGGGGAGTGGGCTGTGCAGAGATCACGTGGCAAGAGAGGAAGTGGGGGGGCAGGTGCCGCCCGGATCTTTTTAATGACCAGCTCTTGCCTGGAACTAATAGAACTCACTCACCCTCGACGGAGGGATTAATCTATTCATGGGGAATCCGCCCCCATGATCCAAACACCTGCCACTGCCAACAGCACGCATTCGAGATAAAATGTCAACCTGAGATTCTGGAAGGACACGGCACAGCACCCTCACTCCCTTCGTCAATCCCCTATCCATGTCTTACCCTGTGTTCTCGGTTGGTTTTGGCCACTAAAAGGATACATGGATGTCCTAACCCCTAGCACCTGTGCACATGACCTTCCTTGGAAGGAAATAGGGTTTTTGCAGATGTACTCAGATGAAGTCATTGGGGTAGGCTCTCATCCAATATGATTAATGTCCTTCTAAGAAGAGAAGGGACACATATGAAGAGTAAAAGGCCATGCATGTGACGATAGACACACAGGGAGAAGATGGCCAGGTGGCAACAGAGGCAGAGATTGGAGTGATTCAGTTGCAAGCCAAGGGACGACAAAGGTTCCTGGTGGTGGTGGCAGGAGAGGCAGGGAAGGATTCCATCCTGAGTCGCAGAAGCAGCCTGGCCCTGATTTTGATTTGGGACTTCAAGCCTCCAGCCTGGGAGAAAACAATCTCCTGTTGTTTTAAGCCTCCCAGTTCACAGCAGTAAGAAACTAATACACCCTGATGAATGATTCTTCAAGCCACTTAGCATTTCCTGAAATGATGTCTTTGTTTATTATCTGGTCTTTTCATTTGGTCATACGGCACCACAAAGAAAGGGTTTTACAACCTTCTCCCGGAAAAACCAACACACCTGAGGACTCTTTGCCCTCCTCTGACCACCCAGCTCTCCCTGCCTCTCGCCCTCAAACGTTTGTCTCTAGCGATCAGAGATTATATTGTACCTGAAACATACAGGCAAAGCTCCCAAATGCTTCCAACCCTTCATGATTTGCACTCATACAAAATGAGGAATTTTATAATTCTTTTTTCCTTATAAAGATTTCTGAACTAATTTTTACTCCTTTTTTTATACTTATAATTGTATTTCTAATTTTTACTCTTTTTCCAAGGAATAAACTAAGACACAAATGTGAGACAGGATCTTGATTAGAGAATCACTATCATTTGTCTCTGTCCTTATCTTTCCAGAGATCTGGCTGTACTGCCCTCCTACCATAATGAATCTCTTCAGTCATCCCAAAAAGAAAACGCTTTCATAAGATGCAAAATAAACCTGTGTTAAGAATGAAGAATAAATTAGCACAGATCAAGGGTCTGGTATCATTCAACAAAACAGCAGTAACAAATTGATATTTATGCTTCAACATTTGCTCCTGACATTGAATAAAAATATGTAGGTAATCAAAGGTTGGTAAGTGCCTGTGATTTTTATATTTTTTAGCAGCACTATATCAATAAACTCAATGGTACATAGTCCATATAAATGCTGAATGTTAGGTGCTGTGATCAATGTCTGACTCCAAGTGAGATCTTGGGCTATTTATTGACTTTTCATGCCTTAGTTTCATGCCACGGAATATTAAATGCCCTTCCAGCTTTCACTCTTCCCCAAGGAGAAAGAACATTACTTCCAAAAATTTCAAGCATTTTAGAAGACAAGGCAAAATTCACTGGGTTAGGACAGATGTCCACCCCCATCTGCACTTGCAAAGAAGTCTTTTTCTTCTAGAATGCTCTCTCCTAGACGCAATGACAAAAAACGGAAAGGCAGTGGGACAAGTTGACTTGTGGGCTTTGGGTTTGCAGTTTGGGCTTTGGGTTAGCCTGGCAGGCAGCATGTTACCAACCTGCCAATTTAGAGGCTGGCCCTGCAAAGGTAATCTGCTCTCATTGGCTGTGCCTCGCCCCAACTCACCACACAACTCCAAACAGGAAAAACATTCTTACCAGGTTTAGGAAAATTGTTACATAATTTCATGTAGCACGATGTGTATTTTTATCCATAAATAGTCTATACCTATATGTGTACTTTCAAAAACAAAGTCACAGTGCTTTTATCACACCTAAAACTTATCAATTATTTCTTATAAAATATTCAGTCTCTGTTCCACTTTCTCTGATTGTCTCCTAAATGCTTAGTGTTCGCATGAATTACATTTTAAACAGATGCTAATGTATTTAGGCAGCTGTCTGTCATCATTCACATGGTCTGGGTGCACATCCGCTGGGAAGTATTGGGAGGCAGAAGCTGAAGTCGCTTCCTGAGCCTCCTTGGGTATAAACAAGTGAATGGATGATTTGCAATGATTTTGTCTGGCCATCTTCTGCCTTATTCAAAAATGATACTGAATACCGCATTTCCCCCATGTCAGCAATCATATACAAGGACCTGCCAGGAGCATTTTAATGCTGCATTTTACAAACTGAACTCACGCCAACTTCTCTCTGAGCACCTAATTAAGTATTATCCCCACCCCCCAAAAGTAGAAGCGCTGCCTGCAGTTTATTAAGCAGGGCTCTAGGCTTAAGATTCTCTCACGCTCAATTTCAAGTTCCACAACCACCGTGGCCTTTGCAAGCTAGAATGTGGTATTTTTTTGGCAAATGCTTGGAGTTTCATAGGAAAGGAAGGAGCTGGGCAGGATGGAGGAGTGGATAAAATGTGAGCCAGGTTAAGCTGGCTCCAGGGTGAGGTTGCATAACAGCAAAAAGCTGCATTCCCACCAAATCTATGCAAAAATTGTAGAGGAGGAATTTCAAGAGGTCTGAGGACACCAGGATGTGCCCAGATGAAATATGTACAGTACGAAAACACTGGCTGATTAAATAATGGAGCAAACAAAACAACTAAATGCTGACAGTAATATATAACATGTACAACAGTAACAAGCACAGACACACACATAAAAGTGCATAAAAATAAATCCTGACCCTGTGGTTATGAGTCTACACAACAGGGTGGACCCAGGCCAGGCACACATTCAAAAATGCGCAGTGGTGCACATTCCCATATTGTTGTACTAAAACAAAAACAAAAATTAAAAAAAAAAACACAAGCAGAAAAAAAATCCCAAAACACCCCAAAAAAGTTTTCCCCTTTTCCCGTCCAATCAGATATGAAATGTAACCAGCTGTGGGGTTTTGATTCGTTTTGAAGTTTAATACATAGAAATTCTGGATGGAAGACCTAGGAAGATCTCGCAGGAGTCCAAGCCCGAGGTGGTATTAAGGAAACACGCTCAGGACTGCGAAGGGGGAGTGGAAGTCATCTGGAATTTGGCCAAGCAATCCGCAGTTGCCTTGCTTAGGTGGCAGCCGCCCTGGGCAGCAGAGGTCCCGGGCCACGCGGCGCGCGCGGGGGGAAGCGACCCGCCGCTCCCGGGCCACCTCCCAGACGGACACGTTGACACTGGGGGCTGGACCAGGCGCCGGCTGGGGACGCGCGGTGCCCGCGGAGCCAGGGCTTTGCGGGAGCGCAAAGGGGTCCTGGTGGGCTCCCAAGGATCTGGGTAGCTGCCACCTCCCCTGGACGGCTCTCTGGGGAGGTGGGGGGTCGGGGGGGGCGGGAGGAAAGGAGACCCCCCCCCCAGGAGGGGGCAGGTGCACCGGGCTGCGAGTGGCGCCGCGGGGCAGAGCCACCGAAGGCCAAAAGTTGGAGGAGGAGCTGGCAGGAGGGCGGCCGGGGCTGGGGGTCCCGGGGGCCCCTCGCCCAGAGTCACTCACCATCCTCCAGCGCTCCGTGCAGCAGCAGCAGCCCAAGCAGCAGCCAGAGCTTCATCTTCGGGCCCGGGGCGCGGGGCGCGGGGCCGGGCGGGGACACGGGGACAGGCGGCGGGCGAGGGGCGGGCGCCTGGGACGCCACAGCTCGAGGATTCGGTTTCCCGGGGAGGAACACAGTTTGGGGGGAAAAGTTGGAATTTTTTTTTTTTTTTAATTCCCTTTGTGATATGACCTCTCCTGCCCCCTGGCGGAGCCGGGTGCGCAGCGCTTTTTCCAAGCGCAGGGAGGAAGGGCTGGGAGCGAAATGTGACTTAAAATAGTACAACAGTCACTACTGAATTTCTCTGACGCTCGGCGTTTTGCTTTTTTGTTTGTTTGTTTGTTTTTTCCTTCACCAAGTTTATCAAGTTCAAGAAGGCCCGGTGCCATCCTGCGGGTCACATGGAACCATGACTGTCAGAAGGTCACCAGCGCTGGCCCCACCTGCTCAGGCAGAGCCTTTAGTGCCCTGTAAGAAGTGTCCCCTAAATGTTACATTGCTGTTTGCTCGCAGTCCTCCCTCTCATTTGCGCTCAGCGACAGGACCGTCGGCCCCGGTGGTTCTTGCTGCTCCTATGGGTTGGCCAGGGATGGGCTCTGCACCCGGCCCTGTACCTGGTGGCCAGGTTGCAAGGACAAATTCATGACGGGAGTCAAGTGAGAAATCGGACCTTACACATAGTCTGGGTTGTGGTGGGGCAGAGGATCTAGTCATTCACATGTCATTCACGTGTCATTCGTGTGTATTCACCCAAGTAAGAAGTGTCCCATGTCATTGCCATCTTTGACAACAAGCATTACGATGAAATAGCGTTCAATTCAAAATAACAGGAGGGGACCCAAGGGCAGAGGTGCTGCAGGTCATTATAAACTGGTGCTTCTCAGCCACATCATGTAGGGGGACCCAAGAATGCCACACTCCCTGTTGCCAGCTCCAAACCCATGTTTGCCACTCACTTGTGTTGCAGTGAGACAACGGTTAGTTGCCTGGGAATAAAGGCGACCAAGGTTCAAGTCTTGACAACTGCGACAAGCTCTCAACTCACTTGACTGTCTGGCTTTTAGAGTCTCTCAAGGTGGAACTAGACGATTATTTCAGCTGACATCTACTGGGTGTTTGGTATCATGGCTGTGAAGGGCAAGACACCCTCCAGCGTGGCTCCTTTTAAGGAGCAGACACCAGCCTGGTGACAAGCATTTAGACCACTGCAATGAGATGTGTGTCGCCTTCTGGGGGGAATTCTGAACAGAGAACTTGGGGAACACACACAGAAGTGGCTCAGTCTGCCTGGGCTGAGATCCCTTTCTATTCTGACTCCATGAGTGACCGCTCCGTTCTCACGTGGTGTTGGAGCCCTGGGTTCAGTCTAGACGCCTCCTTTTCCTCCCTCTCTCCTCCCTGCTGACTGTGCACCAAGTTCACCCTTTTTTGCCATTACTACTGAGCTCTTCCCTGCCCTGGCTCAGGGCTCCTCTCTCATCAGCAGAGTGGCCGCGGGTCCTGATTGGTCTCCCTGCCCCTCCTTCTTGCTCGCAATCCAGTCTGTCTTTAGCAATTAGATCTATTTGCAAATGAAACCCTAGAAAGCCTCACCCTACTCAAACCCTTCAAAGGCTCAGATTCTAGAGAGTTTGGGCGCCTGCCCTCTCTGGCTTCACTCATCCGACAAGGTTTAGTACAGACCTCATCTCCTCTCGCTGAGCACTTGTTAATCTCCATAAAAAGTGTTCTGATTATGATTGCACTGAGTTTATGTTTTGGGGAAGAATGGGCTATATTTATACTACCGAGTCTTCCGATCCAGGAATGTCATAATGTTATGGATGTTTTCATTTATTCAGGTCTTCTTTGATAGACCCCTGACATTTTTCTAATTGGCTAATGCTGGTATTTAGACAACAATTTTGGGTTCTGCATTTCCAACTCGCTTTTCTATCAAATACACTTTAGCTAAATTTGGTGTGTGTGTGTGTGTGTGTGTACATATACATAAATTTGGTGTGTGTGTGTGTGTACATATACATAAATTTGGTGTGTGTATATGGTCATATAGTTAAACACTTATACAGTTATATAGTTATACAGTTGTATTTTTTCCAGGTCTTATTTTTTCCATGTAAGCTTAATAATTATTAGGCTTACTTCTCATTTTTGCTTATTTATACATTTGTTTTGCCATTGTGAATTAAAATTTCCCCCATTGCCTTTTCAAACTGGTTAACGTTGGTATATAGAAAACAATCTTGGAATTCTATTTCCCAAGCCTCTTCTATATCACATACACTTTAGCTAAATGCAGACACATGACACTTATCCTAGATTTGTGTTATGGGCTGAGGTGTGTCCCCCCCCAAAAAAATTTATTTGCTGAAGTCCTAACCTGCAGTGCCTCAGAATGTGACTGTATTTGGAGGTAGGGGCTTAAAAGAGGTAATAAAATTAAAATAAGGTCTCATTAGGGTGGGCTGTAATCCAATTTTGGTATCCTTAAAAGAAGAAGCGATTTGGATGCGGACACGAGCAAAGAGGGAAGACCAAGGCCATCTCAGAGCCAAAGAGAGAAGCCTCAGAGTGAATCATTTCTGCTGACACTTTAATCTCAGACTTCCAGCCTCCAGAACTGTGAGAAAATACTTTTCTGTTGTTTAAGTAGCCCTAGCAAACTAATAGTGGGGTCTGTATTAGGATAGGAGCAGGAATTATGAGAAGTATAAGAAGTAAATTATGAGAAGTATAAGAAGGGGCTTTCTATTTAATCACAAGGCTTATTATCCCTGAATGAAACAATCTCAAGATGACTTTCAGTTTGAAAAATAAAACTGCCAAAGCTGTGGGGGATTTTTGTTTCCTTTTCTTTTTTTCAAAGCTGTGTTTTTTATGGGTTTGATTTCACTATAAAAATCATGTGCTTCATCTCTAGAGTAAGAAAGAATTTTATTATTAGAATCTCTATGTTTATCTTTTCCATTTTGCCTCCAACAAATGCTACAATGTTGGCCAATTAAAATAAGCGCTATCTTGTAGCTCTAACTCTAGTACAACTTGAAGCCTGGTTTTCTAAGTCCTGGTAAATCTTTCGTATGTTTAGCTTGTATCCGGTCACCTTAACGAACACTCTTATTAGTCTAAATAGTTTTCCGTTGATCTCTTAGGTTTCTAGATAAATGATCATGATACCTGCAACACCCATTTTTTGTGTGTGTTTATTAGCTGTTGCCTGTCTGCTACCTCTGCCTCACTCTTGCATTAGCCTTTAGTGTTTATAATCCACTGACCCCTAACTCCAGGAAACATAGAGTGGTTCAGGGATGGAACAGCCCAGGGAATCCACGCCTCTCCTGAATCACCTAGTTCCTTATGTGGGAAGAGAGGAAGATGAAAACACAGAAACACCTTGTAAAAGTGGTATCCAGGGACTCACTATCACTTTTGGGAGGGCAGAGTATTATCTGAGTGGCCATGCTTTATTATCTTTCTCTGAAGAGCGATGGCCACGGTTCCTTGCATTGGCTTAACAAATGGGGAGTTGCAAAGAAAAGAGGAGAATAGCAGAGGGAGAAGTAAAAAATCAGGAGTGGAAGAGTGAGAGAACTGAGTGTGATTCAGGATTCAGGGGTGGTGGGGGAAAGGCTGCATTTGTAGACCTAGGTCTACAAAAGTGTATTTCTTTTCATTTCCCTTAGAAGCACAAGCTGGTATACAATGTGTATCTGATGGATGAAAAGGTCACAGTGAGATTTCAGTGCTTCCATTATGATTTCCTTGTTTGTAAATTATTTTACCTATAAAATTTTCACTGTAAACTTTAATGAATGGTGGTTTTCAATGACTACTCAGCAGTCCTAGAAAAATCTCCACACTCCTTTGCCCTCACTACTTTTTTCCCCTTTTCAAAGGAATCAATACTATCAGGAATTTATTAGGTAAGCAAAAACAAATCAGCCAATATTTTGGCCATCCTTTCCCCATCCCCAAGAACATTTAACTTCTCTAACTTGTCTCCATTAACTATATAAGTATAGTCAAGATGAATTTTTTTTTTTTTTTTTACAAAAAAGAGTGCTTCAAGATTTTAGCAGGAGCTAACTTTAGTAGTTTTAAATATGACACTCCCTGAAAACTACATTCTAATAGAAATGCCAGACATTTTTGATGATCCCAGAGCCACTCATCAAGAGACACCATAGGGTGAGGCAAGGATCCTGGAAACTTTAGTCTACTTAAAATCAACGAGGCAAAAGAAATCACCTTCCTAGCTCCAGGATACAACATGTTGTTAGTACGGGGTCACCTATTCATTAGTTGCCAGAGCAATTCTAAGTGGCAATGGAAGGAAGGCACAACTCAAAGCTGAAATGTAAAATAGGAGACATGTGACTTAAGACTTTCAGTCCTTCCTCTGTTCTTTCTCTTTACTTAATCCCCTCCCCCACAATGATCTCTCATCTATTTGCTTTCCCCTGCTTACTTGCTGTAAATGCTCTTTTTGGAAAGCATTTACTGTCAGTCCTCATACCTTCATGCCAATTTAAGTCAATACTTCTGCCAAAAACATTGGTATTTTAAGCCTGATTTTTACCAGGACAGTGAAACCCTTGGTCCTTGCATGAAGAATTATCAGGTATCGATGACCAGTCAAGAAAAGATTCTGGTGACTTATCGACTCACTCATTGGGGAACCCCAGAATCCTGAACCATGACAACGCTGTAGTGTTTGTAGGTTAAGGGACCCAGAGCCCCAAAACTGGCTTGCTTCCCACTGGGGAGATTTGGGGCCACCCTGGGTAGTGCAGTCCCTATCTTATTTTCCTCTGCCTGTTGACTGCTCCAATCTTAGTAGAGTAACAAAGACTCTTTACCTGGGATTTGTGACATCTGATATCTCTGGTACCTAAAAGTATCTAAGAGGTGGCTACCAAGGAAGGTTCCTGCTACTAGGAAGGTTCACTTAAGGAAATCAGTATTGAGTTCAGTTTCTTTCTAGATAGTTCCACCTATACTTTGACCTACTTTAAAAGACAAATTGAGATAATGTGATGAGAGTTATTTTTGTATGTCTGAGAATTTTTTGAGATATTTTATGAGATGACATGAATCATTCTTTCCACACAGACAAATGGAACTTCTCATTGTAATCCCTTAG